TTTCCGGGACAACACCTCGCGGCCTATCCTCAAACACCGCGGCATCCTATGCAGATCGTGAAAATGCCTTCGATGCCGAATGCCAGCAGTAACTCGACCGGTACGCTCCATACGGGAAAGAAGCTGTCTGACTCGGGATTTTTCGTTCCGAACCTGTGGCAAACGCTGGGCCCTGATTCTTCGAAGCTTTGGGTGCCTCGACAGCAGATAGAACCCGCGCCTGTTCTAAAACCTGAGCCTGTACAAATACAGAGAAGGAAGGAAAAGATTAGTCGCGCGGAACGTGTACAACTGAGGTTGGAATACGACCAAAGTTTACAGCGGACCCCGGCCGATCCTGTACTTGCTCAAGGTCCTGTCGAGGTGCCTGAGGTTTTGTTGAGTGAGACTCCGAGTTCACGCGATAAACGGAAGCGAAAGTCTGACGCGGAATGCGAAACGGAACCGCGAGTCGGAGCAACCCCGGAGGAGCATGAATTCCACCTCGCGACAAGGCGTGCGAAACGCTTGCCTAGCTCCCCGGGAACTCCTGATCAATCGCAACTCCGATCGCAATCCGTAGTGGATCTAGCCAACGTTACGCCCACGTCGCACTTGAACTCGCAGAGGAAAGCCGAGGCAGCCCGTAAACGAGCTCAACGGGCCAGGGAAACTCCTGAGGGTTACGAAAATCGCCTCGAAAAAATGCGTAATGCGAAACGCCAACGCGACCCTCATTCGAGTAATGATGAAATATCAACCCTGAGCCCCACGAATCGTTTTGGTGCCGTCACGCTGACTTCGAGTCAAAGGGCACTGCGAGACTCAGCCAGTGCCCGGATGAGGATGCTACGTGCAAATGAAAGCCCAGCTGAGCAAGCGGCACGGCGAACCAAGGACCTCTACTCTAAAAGGTTGCAGGAGTCTCGGTTGAGCACAAGTGAACGTGAAAATCAGAATCTCGCTCGGGCTGCGCGTGTAGCGGCAAGGCGCTCCAGAGAATCGCCTTCGCGGCGCTCGGAGCGTCTCAGTCGAGATGCGATTTCCACGGGAAGTTCACGACACCGAGAATCCTCATCCCAAAGAGGATTGCGTCTGGCGGCAAATGCTATTCGGACCGCGGCACACCGGCAGCAACGGCGCCATACGGCTGCTGCGCGTGCAGGTGCTGCTCGGAATCCGGATGCATTTCCCCCCATCCACTATCTTGGCAAGCCGGACATACCTTGCAGCTGCTGTGGCGCATTGCATTACGCAGTCGAAACGAAATCCTCGAGCGGCAGTTTCCATTCGTGTTGTGGCCATGGCAAGATTGCTATTTCGTTGTTCGACAATTTCCCCCAGGAATTGGAAGATCTTTACAAAGGGGATACTCGAGAATCGAAAGATTTTCGGGCGAACATTCGAAATTACAATAGCGGTCTAGCTATGGCTTCAATGACGGCCCAAATGGATGCTCCGCCCGGAAGAGGTCCACGGCCTTATCGGATCCATGGAGCAGTGTACCATTTGGTCGGCCCTATGAGACCACAGCCTGGAGAGCAAGCCCAATATGCCCAGATCTATATAATGGACACCGAGCAAGCGGCCAACGAGCTAGCCGGTCGTGCCATCAATCGGCACTGCGATCAGGGCCTCTTTGCCAACCTCCATCTCCTCTTGCAAAACGTCAATATCTATGTACAATCATTGATGATGATGGCAGAGGTGTCAAAGGAGGAATCTGATCAAGCAGCTGCCGATGGGCGGGAAGCTCTCTCAGCGCAGTTGGTCTTTCGAACAGATAAAAGGGACGACCAAAGACGGTTCAATGCGCCTACATCCAATGAGATTGCCGTTGTTTACGTTGGTGACGATGAGTCGATACCCGGCGAGCGCGTGTTCTATATTCACGAGCGAGACGGCGGCCTCAGGCAGATCCACTACTTGCAGAAAGAGTGCGAACCACTCTGTTATCCTCTCTTCTTCCCTCGGGGTGGAGAGGGGTGGCACCCTAACATTCCGAAGCAAGTGGGAAATGCTGGCCGTCGTGGTAACTCTGACGATGACGAACCGGCTATTGCCGATGACGGTCCGCCGAACCGGGTATCACAAAGAGAATATTTCGCCTATAATATGTTCGTCAGGCAAGGCTTCAATCCCATCCACCACGGCGGCAAGCTTTGCCAACAATATTACGTGGATGCCTTCGCCAAGACTGAGCAGAATAGGCTTAATTATTATCTGACTCATCAGCGGGAACTTCGGCTGGATACGGTCCGTGGCCTCACCGATCACATGAATTCTCATGGTCAAGGTCCTGCAGGCAGAAAGATTATTTTGGGCGCCGGTCATCAAGGCAGTGGTCGAAATTCAGTCGGACACTATCAGGATTCAGTGGCCATTATGACCAAGTACGGAAAGCCAGATCTCTTTTTGACCATCACTTGCAATCCGAACTGGCTGTGATCAGGGCCCACATTTTTGAACTGGCAAATAGCCGGCCAAGATCATTGGGGGGTCAAGCGGTTAGGGGGGAACAAGTTAGGCGCCCGAAGAAAAGATAGGTAACGCAAAGTAGAGGGGTTTCTTGATTTTGCAGTTAGCAAATAGACGGACTGGCTGGCGGTGGTCACTGCCGCTCCACCATCCCCCACTTGACCCCCCCCTTCCCCCTATTTGTGGAACATTCATTTTTAGAGGGAAATGACGTCGGCTGCGGGCGGAAACGATCAGCATCGGAATTTTGGGAGGGCAGGCAGACTAGCAGGGGCTCTTTAGGGAACGGCTCGACCATTGAGAAGCTAGATTGGCTAGCAGAGATATTTGGGGAAAGGAAAGGTCGCTTGTGGAGCCGTGCAAGATAGCAGAGATTAGCCTCTGATGGAGGGGAGCCTCGGAGGGTGAGCAAGGTAGCAGAGATACTTTGGGAGCCTGTGAGGGTCAGCAAGCTTGCAGAGATATTTGGGAGCATCTGCTTGATTTTGAAGCCTGTGGCAGGCTAGCATGGGTCCTTTGGGAGTCTGAGATGGCAGAGGCAACCTAGCCAAGGTTCTTAGCGAAACACTTGTGTCAGCATGGTTGGTGGCGCTGGTGGGCAGAAATCATTTGCGGAATCCAAATAATCCCCCCGATTTCAGTTCATCGAGGCCAAGGTGAAAGAGGTCTTCTCGGTGCTGCAGGCCGCCTACCAGAAGCGCGGATCGCCGCCAAAATGCGGATACTGTAGTCACTCTTTTGAGTGCCGCTCGCAGAACACCTCGCGTCAAGGAGATGATGGTGGGATGATGCAGATGGGAGGCGGAAACGGGATGCAGATGGGCGGGGGAAGACGTCCGCAGCCTCACGAACAGTGCAAGTGAGTTCTGAGAGAGCGAGAGAGACCGAGAGAGAGAGAAAGAGAAATAGAGAGAGAGCGCGCGAGAGAGAGAGAGAGAGAGGGAAAGAGACCGAGATAGAGCTAGAAAGACTGTATTAAATCCGAAATTCCAGAACCAAGGAAATTCGCCCCATTGACGCCGACTGCGACGACCAGAAGGCGTGCTCGATGACGCAGGTTGACGGTGGATGCCCAACCCCAGTGTTCCTCCACAAAGACCACATGGACAAGATCAACGAAATGATGATGGACGGGGACCACGAGGTGTGGCAAAATCCACGTCAAAAATCGTACAAAATCTAGGGAGCCCTGAACATGGTGCACTCGATGAGCAACAACAACAACGGCATGGGATCGGACTACTTCTCCGGCATTGACGATGACGATGCAATGGAAATGGAGATGGGAATGGGCAGGAAGAAGCGGCAGAGCGGCTTCTACAATGATGACGATTATTCCCCGTATATGGGACCATCGCAGAGCGGACAGAGAATGCACGGTAGGGTTCACAAGACGTTGTCAACGGTATCCAAACGGAATCACGATTTCTACCTTAATTTTTCAGGGAACGGACCGTGGACCGCGCAAGACGCGTGGACCGGCAGCTCGCAAAGCCGGAACCCATTCCAGCAGTGGCGCCAACAGCAAGGAGGCCAGGGGATGGACTCGCAGTTTGTGGGGCGTCAACAGCGACAGGGTGGTTATAGAGAATATGGTGGACAGTCACGAATGTCCGGAATGTCCGGAATGTACCGCGATGACTCTGGAATGATGGGTGGACGCGGTGGATTTGGCGGATTTGGCGGTGATGATCAGATGATGGGAGGTAGACGAGGAGGACCTGGAGGACCAGGAGGACGAGGCGGATACGGGCCGGATTCTGGAGATCGACGTGGAGGTTTCGGCCCCAATTCTGGAGATCAACGTGGCCCAGAAGGCCCAGGAGGACGAGGTGGATATGGACCTGATGATGGCGATCGCCGTCGACCAGGAGGACGAGGTGGATACGGACCCGATTCTGGAGATCGACGTGGACCTGGAGGACCGGGAGGACGAGGCGGATACGGACCCGATTCCGGAGAACGACACGGTCCTGGAGGTCGCGATGGCCGCGGACGCGAAGATGACCGTCGGGGCGGACACGGCCGCTTTGGCCCCGATTCTGACGAACGACGTGGCGGACCTGGAGGTCGTGGTGGAAGGTTCGGCCCGGATTCTGATGAAGGACGCGGACGTGGTGGACACGGACGCTACGGACCTGATGATGATGATCGTCGGGGACGCGGAGGACACCACGGTGGATCTGATGAGCGACAGGGAGGCCGAGGTGGCGATCGTCGTTACAACGACGAGCCGATGGGACGACGTGGTGGACGTGGAGGTGATTCCGAGGATTCGGAAGAGCGAGGACACGGACGCGGAGGAGATGACCGACGAGATGGAGGCGGTCGATTCGGGCCAGATTCGCGGGAACGACGGGGTGGGCGGTCTGATGAAAGGCAGGGAGGACGCGGTGGGAGCCCGTGGGATCAGGTGAGCCCCTCGTTGAAGCCAGTCAGGCTGAAGTTTTTAGGATCGTCAATTTGACGACAGACGTCGTGGACGTGGTGGACCTGGAATGCCACCACCACCCCCACCTCAACCTCGCGAGCAAGATGGTGGTATGGACCACAGGAGGGGCAAGGCAGAGACCCTAGCCCAGCTTTTGCACGGAACGAACTGCGTCAGGTAGCGCTAAAATCGCTAAGATGAACACCAAATACTTTCCAGCACTGGCAAAGACTGTTTGTGCTGCTGTGGAGGGTATATCCCCGATGCAGCCTCGGGTAACTGCACCGATATTCGCCGTCGCATCCTTGGAATTGATGGCCTCATGGACTTTGCGCTTCAATGTAAGTCTTCAAAAGCTTATAAGGATCGAAATGTCGCTATCATAATGCCGAAAATCGTAGTGCCGAAATTCGTAATTTTGAAATGCCATAATGTCGAAATCCAGAATGCCGATATTTTTTTGCTCAGAATTCCGGGAAATTTGCTCATGTAAATTTCGATATTTTGCAATTTCGACATTATGACATTCGACGCTATGAAGTTCGACATTGTGATTTCGACATTTTGAATCAGGAAATTGACACCATTTTTACACAGTTTTCTACCATTCCTCGGCTTCCAATATTCACAAGCTTCTATTAAAAAACAAAAAAATATGAATTTTTATGAATTGCTTACGATGGGTTTTTATTAAATGAACGATTTCAACGAAAATTTCACCAGTTTAGAAACTTTTCAGATTTTCTAGTTAGTTTTTTAGTTTTTAGTTATTTTCCATGGCTATCGAAAATAGCCAAATGGAATCAAAAACCCTATTTAAATGCTTGCTAGAAGTATCTGGGCAAATATGAAAAATATGGTCCCCGCAACGATGCGGAATACCCGAAAGTATTCCTAAACTACAAAAATTTCAGCCACAACCGTATCCAGCCTCGACGACGACTCAACCACCCAGGATTCCATGTATTGAATGAACAATGTACGGCAAAAGATTTATTGACCCATGAATATGTGATAACGGGACCAGAGAAAAATAAAATAAAAATTAACATTACGAAAGGGACAAGGCAATGGGCGGGTGGCAGTGAATGGGAAAAACAAATGGGTGCTTTTGCATTATCGGGGGGCAGAGCAAGCACATTAAAAAAATACAGGGTGTCCCAAAAAAACGACCCATCTGGCATTTCGCCGCCTTCCATCCAATCGGTCCCAAAATTGGACGAGAGCTGTAGCAGACGCTAAATAACTGCAATCCTGACTTTTAGCCCAATAGCTAAGGTAGTTCTCGAGTTATAACAAAAAAACTGCTTTTCCAGGAATTCTGAACAGTTTTTGGCTATCTTTTTGGACTTTACATCAATTTGCATCGACTTCCGGGTGCGAATCCCTAATTTTGCTTAAGATCTTGGGTAATTTTGCGTTACAAAAATCGCTTAAATCGACAATTATCTGATTAATTTTGGCCCGGAAAAAATTTATTAAGATCAAGATGGCCAACCGAATCATTTTCGCTTAATGTTTAGCGGGTCTAATTCCACGGAAACCGTATGAAAAATGAAAAATAAAGTTTATTTTTGTTATAACTCGAGAACGACTGTAGCTACAAGGCTATAAGTCAGGATTGTTGTTATTTAGGGTATGATACACCCCTGGTCAAAATTTGGGGCCGATTGGATGTAACACGGCGAAATGCCAGATGGTTCGTTTTTTTGGGACACCCTGTATATCGCTTGGAATGAGCAGGTTAGTGCACCGGGGAGAAAAGTGAAAAAAAATTGTATGGTAGTTTACCCTGCGGCAAAGCGCACAATTTGAAAAAGGATTCCCGAAAAATGGAACAATTGAAATTATCAAATTTAGATTAACAAAAATTGAAACAAATTGGACAATTTGTAGGAAAATTTTAGGTTTACTGAACTGGTACTGGGCTATTAGCCGGTGGGGAGCGGGGCTTCAGTTTACTGCAAACAATGATCACCCCCGATAACAGTCCAGTACCATTTTTTTTGAATAATCGATCTACCCAAAAACGGAGCAACCCGCTCGATAAGGGAATGAAGGCCTTTAGGGGTTTGGGAAAAAGGAAATCACCTTTTTAATCACTTTAAAATAAAGCAGAGATCGGGAGGAAGCATCCATAAAGTAATACAAAATTTAACAGCTAGGAATTTCATGTGGATCTGGCTTAATTTACGTCGACTTTTTCGACTTCTCGAATTTTCTTTGGCTATTCCCGCGGCACCGTCTCGGCTTGAGGATCAGCTCCGTCGGCTTGGTTGGCGTTTGCGTGGGAGCGGCGGGCGACTTCTAGCAGTTGGGCGGCTGTGTCGCGACCCGTTTCCTTGACAAGCGCTGAGAGCTGGGAGTGCGGCTTCTTGAGGAGCTCATACGGGTGCGCGAATTCGATCAGACGCCCGTCCTTCAGCACCTGGAAATGATGATGTTAGTAAGAAAGCTCATCGCGGAACATTGCAGCGCGAAGCTTATGCTTGGGCTTAGGCTTAAGGGTAGGCCTAAGATTGGGATAGGGCTTAGATATAGGCTTAGGCTTGGCTTAGGCCTAGGCTCAGGAAAATATTTTGCATTAGCAAAACCCACCATCACCCGGTCCGAGTCCATGATCGTGTGCAGTCGGTGGGCGATTGTCAGCACCGTGCTGTTGGCGAACTGACGGCGGATCGTCTTTTGGATCAACTCATCGGTACTAAAATAGTTTGTTTTGCTCCCTAATTAAAATCATACTGTGGATCAACATTGGCCGTGGCCTCGTCGATGACGAGGATCTTCGAATTGCGTAGGAGCGCTCGGGCCAGGCAGAAGAGCTGCCGTTGTCCGACCGAAAAAGTTGGCGCCGCCCTCTTGGACCTCAGCGAGTAGGGTACCGGACAGCTCGGAGACGGCCTCCTAAAAGTGATTAAACTCCATTACCCCTGAATTTACACCTTCAGCTCGACTTGGTCAAGTGCCGTCCATAATGCCTCGTCGGAGTACTCGTTGAACGGGTCGAGGTTCCGCCGCACAGTACCGACGAACAGGACAGGTTCCTGCAACCGTTTTTTGTCTCTCAACTTTATAGTCCCCTTAAAGTTCGCTTTCAACCGGGAAAACTCCAAAGCCCGTCAGTCATAATAGGAAAGCCGAAATACCGAAAGATAAAATCCCGACAACGGAAATCCGGATAGGCCAGAATCCCTACAGGCCAAGGTCTCAAGTCTTGTCGGTATTTTGTCTAGATTGTGCCTGTCGGGATGATTGTCGAGATTATTGATTTCAGGAGTAAAGGCTGTCGGGATTTTTGCTGTCGGCATTATCGCGGGCTGTCGGGTTTATGGCTGTCGAAATTGGCGCCGCGGGATTTCGACTGTCGGGATTTTGGGATGTCGGGTTTCTGCTCGTCGGCATTCTGTCGAGATTATGTCTGTCGGGATTTTAACAAAACCCCTTTCCACGAACCTGCGGAATGATGGCGAGATGCGAGCGCAAATCGCGTAGCTGCAAGCAGTTGATGTCGACGCCGTCGATGAAGATTCGGCCTGGCAATGAAAATCAGCTGAATGACTACCGAAGTCTGACACACCTGTCGAAGCCTTGTTCATGCGGAAGAGGGCCTTGAGGAGTGAAGATTTGCCGGCCCCCGTCCGGCCGACGACACCAACTTTCTGGTTGCCATCAATATTGGCAGTGATTTCGCGCAGGGCCAACGAGTCGTCGTATCGTAGGGAAAAGTTGTCGAAGCGGATCCCACCCTTCGACGGCCATCCGGATGGGGCCTAAAGCACAAGTTAGTCAAGAGGAGAAGAAAGACGCAGTACCTGGATGTGACCTTTGTCGAGGTGTTCTGATGGCAGCGCGCACATGTTCAGTATCCGCTCGACGGAGACCATCTAAAAAATGGGTAGCATTGCAACGTTTTCCCGAATCGTACCCCGTTCTGCATTTCTGCCGACTGGCGCATAATCCATGAGAAGAAGCCGGTCAACTGGACGGCGTAGACGAGCATCAGCGCCACTTCGCCGGGCAGGAAATCTCCTGAAAGTGATGAAACGTGTCTAGGAGCTAACAAGGAGTGTCTTTTGGTGTCATCGGCAAAACTATTGAGACCCAGCTCATTCGATAGAGAATTAAATTCTGAACAAGACTGTGTTCTTCATTTTTGCGGAATGGCTGTCCCTGGTTTTATAGAATTAAAAAACCAAGCGCGAAACCTTAACAACTCGCTTCCCAAGCACCAATGGATGGGCGTCGCCGGCAGTTTTTTAATGTTATAAAATCAGGGGCAGCCATTCCGCAAAAATGAACAACAAAGTCTTGTTCAGAATTCAATTCTCTATCGAATGAGCTGGGTCTCGAATCGTTTTGCCGATGACACCAAAAGGACACTCCTTGTAAGCCTAAGCTAAGCCTAAGCTGCTTCCAAGCTAGCCTAGCTAAGCCTAAGCTAAGCCTAGCCTAAGCTAAGCCTAAGCTGCAGCCTAAGCTAAGCCTAAGCTAAGCCCAAGCTAAGCCTGCTGCTAAGCCCAAGCTAAAGCCTGCTTGCCTAAGCTAAGCCTAGCTGCCCAAGCTGCCTGCTGCTCAAGCCAAGCCCACAAGCCTGCCTGCTAAGCCAGCCTAAGCTAAGCCTGCCTAAGCCAAGCCTAAGCTAAGCCTAAGCTAAGCCTAAGCTAAGCCTGCTCTTAGCTAAGGCTAAGCTAAGCCTAGCTAAGCCTAAGCTAAGCCTAGCTAAGCCTAAGCCAAGCCTAAGCTAAGCCCAAGCCTAAGCTAAGCCTGCTAAGCCTAAGCTAAGCCTAAGCTAAGCCCAACGAAACCTAAGCAAGGCTAAGCCTAAGCCTATGCCTGAACAAGAAAGTGCTTACCGGACGCAAAGGCACAAGCAAACGCCACAAAAGAGACGAATCCCGCGACAATCCAGTCGATTTGCACGGCGAACCACCGGGATGTCGTCAACGAGAGCGAGAAGGCCGCCGAATTCATGTTCATCTGAAAAGACGTCTAAAAAAATGCAGAATTGCTACTTTGTCATGGTAGTCCTGTTCGATTTTGTCGCGCTTCCCGAACGCCCGCACCGTCATCAAGCCGTTCATCATTGCCGAGATGTGGGTATAAAGTGGGGAACGAGCTGAGGAAAGTTGTAACGACAACAAAAAACGTACAAACAGCCTCGAGTCGTTTGACATCCCGGGAAGTGGATAGGTAGATTGAGCGGAGCACTATGAAGACGAGTCCGAGTGGAAGGCAGAGCAGAATGACTCTTGGATTGGCCAGGAAAATGACTCCGACAGTGCCGAGAACGCCCAGCATACCCTGGAAAGTGCGCATCAAAAGATCAATAAAGACTATAAAAATCCTGTATTAAAAAGGTAAGTACCGAGCTAAAAAACCAACCAGAACGAACTCGAAAAACACAAATGCCAATGACTCGTCCATCGTGTGCATGTCCTTCGAGAATCGATTCAAAACCTAAAAACATCCATAGAATAGAGTGGAGCAAGTCGGGTTTGCGGATTTTTCCGGGAAAATCTCTCTCTCTCTCTCTCTATCTCTCGCTCTCTCTATCTATCTCTCTCTATCTCTCTCGCCTCTCGCTCTTTCTGTCCCTCTAACGCACTCTCTCTCCCTCTCTCTCTTTCTATCTATCCCTCTCTCTCTCTGTCCCTCTATCTCTCGCTATCTCCCCTCTCACACTCTCTCTCGTCTCGCCCTCTCTCACTCTCTCTCTCTCTTCTCGTCCACTCTCTCCAATTCGCGAAATCCGATTTTCAAAATTCTCATCAGAATTTGGCTAAAACTCACTCTCCCGACCGGATTTTTGTCAAAGAACTCGGGCTCCGTGTTGACGACTGCGTGGAACATTTCGGCGTGCAGATTTCGTGAGGCCAACGTTTCCAGATACCGCAACCAGATGCACCTAAATTTTAGGTTCTAAAACGAGTTAAGCCAATTAGCCGGGATCAAAAACCCGTCAGTCGATTCCGGCCAATTTTTTTTTAGAGCTCGTTTTTCCTTATCCAAAAACAGGCATGCATAAGGCTCTAGGTACGGAACAACGTCACGGAGGCGTGCGCGCAAATGCACACTAACACACAAAAATCTGGTTTTTATAGATCTATCATGATGTAGAATCCCTACCTGATGAGCGATGCGATGGAGACGAGGACGGAGGCGACCGCGAAAACCCACAGGAACATGTCCAGACTGACGTCCATTTGAAGCCCGAACAGCTTGACACGGTCCTAGAAAAAGCCGTTGCACGGCCCGAAAATATACCGTAAACCCCGCCGGCACGTCATCGATGTTGGTGCTGTTGCCCGCGGCCCTCATCGCCCGCTCAGCCGCGTTGGTCCAGAGGTTCAACCAGTAATCGGTCAGGTTGAAGACGGCTTGAGAGACGATGGTGAACACGAGGGCCGGTAGGAGTGAGCAGAGACCCATCGCCTTGATGTAGCGCCAGTAGGTGGACCTGGCAAAGGATAGCTTGGTGTAGCTGAACTTACCAGGGTACCGATCCCTCAGCACGGTCCTCCTCTTCCCTCTTCGGCGGCTTCCATTTCGCGGTCTTTCTCGTGGGGTTGATTGGCTAAAACAACGACTATTCGGCACTGGACTGTTAGCGGGGGTACTAAGCTTTATTTTCCGGCGATACCTGTATAAAAAAATTTAAAATGCTTGAAATTGAAATTTTTGACGAATTTTGATCAATCTCAAAAATGTTTGAAAAAACTATGTGTTTTATGAGTATTTTTATATTTAAAAACAACGTTGCTAAAATGGTGCTAACATGCGCTATATTTACCTATGGGATACGTACGGGCTCACGGGAAAAATTTTGTTTCCACACCGCTAAACCCCTCCCCCCTCGTTAACAGACCAGTACCGGATGTTCAATCCACGGAAAGCACTTACCAATTCCCTCAAAAACCTCATCTACAGCATCGTCCATCTGCTCTTCTGCCGATGCGTCACTAGCCACGCTTTCTGAGCGGCGAGCCGCGTAGGTTTTTGTGGTTTCCTGGAAAACGAGCGTCGGGTGCTTTGGCATTATAGGGGGACCAATTTTTTTCCCGTGCCCGCCTCGATAATGCAAAAGTGTCGACTTGACACGTTCAATGTCATTCAATTGTCAATGGCGGGAAACAATTTCCCCGATCCCCCGCCCTCGATATTGCAAAAAGTACCGACTTGACACATCGTTCGATGTACGAACCTGAATAAGTTGATGGACAAGCTTCGAATTGGATTCTTTCAGCTGCTTCAGAGTGCCTTGGAGCACCACCTCTCCATCGCGCATCAGAAGAATCTCGTTAGCACGGCCGATGAATTGGAGTTGATGGGTGACGAGGATCACGACACGATCGCGGAGGTACTCGCAGATGCATCTAAAAATTATGATTTTCGACGTTGATGTAGTTACTTGTCAAAGATGAAGCGTCCTACAGCAGCATCAACAGCCGACAGCGGGTCGTCGAGCAGGTAGATGTCCGCCTAAGGAAAATGGTACTTTACTGTTAGAGGGGGCTGGGAGACCAGACTTAACAACCCCTGTTTCAAACCGTAAAAAATAAACTTTCCAAAATTTCTAAAATTGTCCGGCTGCCATGAAAAAGGCTCATTTTGTGGTACTGGACTGTTAGCGGGGGGTCTGCGGTGGATAAAATTTCTCAGTAATCCGGATTTCCAGTCATTTCGCATAATTTTCCTTTCGCATACCGCCATTTCGCATAATTGCATTTCGCATAATTTTTATTCCGCATAACGGTGATTTCGCATAACGCTTATTTCGTATAACGCTTATTTCGCATAACGGTGATTTCGCCTAACCGTCATTTCGCATAACGGTCATTTCGCATAATTTTCGCCATTGGCAGCCGATGGTATATACACTCCATGGAAAAACTATAGAACCACCACAGAGCTTGGGTTCTAGGCCAGCCAGGGCCTGGATATTTATACTGGGGGTTTCTTTTGGAACAGGAAACGACTGTGTAAAATTTGAAACAGCAAAGTTTAGTAGAGGTGGTACTTCCAGGAGTTGGGTCGAGGATTTTCATGGAAAAACTATAGAACCACTTTTTGGGCTTCGAATCTCAGACCCTTTTTGAGACTTTTTGTGGGATATTTCGATGGCAACGGGCCAGTATATAACTAAACTATCAGTTTCAGTCGCTATTTCCGGCAGGGCTGCTCCCGGACAAGTTTTGGAAAACGCGAATTTAACAAAGAAATCCACTTTTTCCTCAATAAATTGGCGAAAGAAATTTTGTGCGGAAATCGGCAAATGCGATCTGAAAGAGCTTGAAACGGCGAGCATTTTGGTATACTGTACCTCGGATAATATTGCCTAGGGCCCGAGCTATCGAATGCTAAATGTGCGGCGACAGGGAGTCTTTGTTAAACGGGCCGGGAAATGCATGGCGGGCAGGTAGTCCAGCATTCACCATTCCATACCGCATTATTCACTATAGTTTTGGCCGGGTGTAGTATACCAAAATGCTCGCGTTTCAAGCTCTTTCAGATGACATTTGCTGATTTCCGCACAAAATTTCTTTCGCCAATTTATTGAGGAAAAAGTGGATTTCTTTGTTAAATTCGCGTTTTCCAAAACTTGTCCGGGAGCAGCCCTGCCGGAAATAGCGACTGAAACTGATAGTTTAGTTATATACTGGCCCGTTGCCATCGAAATATCCCACAAAAAGTCTCAAAAAGGGTCTGAAATTCGAAGCCCAAAAAGTGGTTCTATAGTTTTTCCATGAAAATCCTCGACCCAACTCCTGGAAGTACCACCTCTACTAAACTTTGCTGTTTCAAATTTTACACAGTCGTTTCCTGTTCCAAAAGAAACCCCCAGTATAAATATCCAGGCCCTGGCTGGCCTAGAACCCAAGCTCTGTGGTGGTTCTATAGTTTTTCCATGGAGTGTATAACTCTAGCTTACTAATTAGCAATCGATGAAAGACAATCTACCGGCGCGGTTTTTTGCGCCCGTGCAGATATCCCAAGCTTGCTCAAAATCCATCCCCATGAGGTGTACGTCTTTTTTGAGGGACTAGGTCAAAAATCCTACGTTGTAGATAGTATCCATGTGTAAACTAGCAAATCTGGCCGCCAGACTAGGTCAAAAGCATTACATTGATTACAGATGCGGAATCCGCGTAAATGGTAGCTAGTCATTTCGATTGTCTTATACCGTGACTGCACTTCATATCATCAAAAACGCCCTGTTTTGCTCTTGGTTGCCACTATGCGAAATATGCGAAATAAACGTTATGCGAGATCATCGCTAGCTGAAATGAAAATTATGCCAAATGATCGTTATGCGAAATCACAGTTCGGCGAAATGACCGTTATGCGAAATCGACGTTAGGCGAAATAAGCGTTATGCGAAATCATCGTTATGCGAAATCACCGTTATACGGAATAAAAATTATGCCAAATGCAATTATGCGAAATAGCGTTATGCGAAATGGTGATTATGCAAGATGAAGAAATACCGTAATCCGATACACCCCTATCACAAAATCTAAGCAATTTTTTCAGCATCTACACAGTTTTTAGATTTAAAAACTAGGTAAAAATTTTATAAATTTTGAAAATTTTTGGGTCTTGGTCAAAACTTATGAAAAATAACCAAAAAACGCTATTTTTCAAAAAATCACAGCATTTTCAAATTGTTTTATCACTCTCTAGCTATCAAAAACGATTAAAACGAGTATAACTATACCATTTCGATTATTAACAGATCGGAATTGGCAGAAAGTAATCGTCGCCCCCCGCTAACAGTCCAGTACCGAATGAAACTGTACAAATGACGCACCTGGCTGTAGAGAGCACGGGCTAGTGAAAGACGTGCTCGTTGGCCCCCACTCAACGCGAGCCCACGATCACCAACAAGATTCGCATCACCGTTCGGGATTTCGGCCAGGTCCTGAAAATGAGGGTTGGTTCCAAAAAATGTCGCTTACCTGCTTGAGCGCCGACATCTCGAGCACCTTCTCGTACAGGTCGAGATCGAATGGGTTGCCGAAGAGCACGTTGTCCCTTACAGTACCCCCGAATATCCAAGAGTCCTGTGAGCAGTACGCGACAGTACCGTGCACACGGAGCTAAAGGGTAGGGACTTTCACAGTAAGCGCCAATTTACCTTTCCAGCCGTCCGCGTAGCTTCCCGGAGGATCGAGGCGAGTAGGGATGATTTTCCGGCTCCAACGGGCCCGATGATGCCGATCAACTGGCCCTTCTCGGCATGCATCGTAATGTTTCGGACTGCTGTTGACGTGTCGGAATCAAATTTCGAGATGTCCTAAAAAATAAGTTCACACTATAGGGGATTGCCGGAACTGCTTCAACTGTTCTCATTATTCGTGGAGCGGGAATTTTGCATTTTAAGGCCGGAACCAGATTTTTCAAACAAATATGGCCGATGTTCGACCAAAATCTCAAATTCTAAAATTAGTTTTTACCTTTCAAATTGTTCTTTGGCGTGCGGTTTTAAATAGTTTTTCCTATACGAATATTGTAGTTTTCACTAAGGACGTTACTAAAATTACTACTGACACGTTACAAGGAGTTTCTGGCTGGTAAAAAATTCGGGTGTCCCCTGATACCTCCGATAACACAAAAGTACCGGATTTTTGCAAGAAATTAGAACCGACATTCGGCCTTGCCCAAGAGGATGAGTAGTTGGACAACTCGACGAGCGTTTTCGGGTTGTCTGGCTGCAACTCACACCACTGCTCGGTGAGCTCGGACTGGCCCTAAAAACACAGAGATTTAGAAGCTCAAAAGAGTATACTACATTTCTGATCAAGGGTTTGCGTTCTGCACTTGCGCCCAACCGCTCCATCGGGATTTCGCTATTGTCATGACCCTCGGGCTTCCGCTCAACTGGGTGGAAATCTTCGAGGGCCAGAAACGCCTAAAAATCATTTCTTTCCAAAACACCTTGCCAAACCTGAATTCTTTGCGTGGACACCCGGGCTTCTTGGAACATTGCGATGCCTAGCGGCAGGAAAAGCATGACGGGCAGGCGGCAGGCGTGGAATAGGGCGCTCTGAAAACGAAAACGCTCGTGTAAAATTCGGTTTAAAGGGGTTCAGGCAGCCCGTGTCGATCAGGCCTCATAGAGCAATCGTAACTAGCCAACCGATTACGCTAAACAAAATCGAGGAGAGAACCCGCTCAAACAACACTGAGCAGAGCTGGTTTCCGCAAAGTCAACGCCTTTACGCGAATCGACTCTACCGTCCTGATCCCTTTAAGTTAAACTCACCGCGACAAAGATGGGTTCGGCGAGCATCAGCTCTCCCTGGACAAAATACGCGATGGCCGCGAAGAGGATGACGAGCTTGCTGCTCGGCCAGAAGAGTCCCATCAGGAGGGCTTGGCACGAGGCTTGCTTCCGGATCATTTGCAGCTCGTTGCTGAAAAGGGCTAATTGGGTGGATGTGCACTACTGTAGTTTTTCTTATGGTTCATTTTTCATAAAAGCGGCCGAACTTAAATTTTTTTATGGAAAATCAACCAACGCCGTCGTATTTGTGCTTACTGTCGAAGGTGTTTGACGATATCGGAGAAGGCGTCTTCCCACGAGTACATTTTTATCAACCGGATGCCGGCCAGGATTTCCGTCATCACGGAGAGACGTTTGTCCGAGCGGGCTGCCACGCCGTGGCTAAAACGCAACGAAGGTTGTTTCATATTTTTGGGCAGCTTTTTCCATTTTTTTAAAAAGCTCACTGTCAGTCGACCCCAAAATTAGGCAGAAAGCCCATGTTCCCTTCCAGCCACTTTCACTGATAAGGCTGGCCCTGCCTAGCGGTCAGTGTCCCCGTTATCAGCACAAACAGCCAGCTGTCACTTTCATCATATTACTGTAGCTGCCGGGCACCGTAAGGAAAAATTGGGCGCTTTCGAAAGTGCCGATAATATAGTTTTTTTTGCAAAAAAAGAGGGATTCTGACACAAATTCCGGCTTTAAAACGACTAGGAATGTTTTAAATAAATGTTTACCGAAATTGCCCCATCTTTTTCGAGATCAACCCCTGGATTGGGAACAGGAGGAAGTAGGCGGCGAAACCGGCAATTGCAGCCACGCCAATCTGCTGGTAGATGACGATCGAGTAGCCGATTACGATTAAGGGGGATACCTAAAAACGGGCATTCCATTCTCACGAAAAACCCCCTAAAAGGCCGCGAAGCGGTTTTTTGTATTCTCGAAAAACATACCCAAATGTAATGGAAAAAGATGAAGCTCATATCGTATTTCGTCACATCGGTCGATAGGAGGTTCACCATATGGCCTACGGAAGTGTCGCGGATGGCAGCGCTACTCAAGCCAAAACCCTGAGACAAATAATTTTTATTGATTTTCCACGATACCTTTTCCGTCACCAATCCGGAAGCGGCCACTTTGACCCGCAGCCCAATTTTCTGAAGGCCATAGAAATACGGGTGGTGAACAGTAGCGACCAAAGCGCTGGTAATTGCCACGCCGGCGGCTGCGATGTACGCATCTTGCTAAAATACCTTCACAATCAAGTAAAATGTTTTTACAGCAGTGAGCGGGTGATCGAAGCGGAAGTAACGGATCAGGCGGCCCATGAAGAGAGGCTGGACGAGTTTGATGACTTCTTCAAGGAAGAGGAGTAAACCACACCAAGAGAGCGAGCCCCGATAGGTTCGCAGCATGGCTTTCATCAAGGACGGGGGTCGGCCGGCCGTTTTTGCCGTTTTTTGCTCGTTTTCCCAGCCTCTGCAAGGAAGTTATTAAAATATTTTCCCCCGCTAGCAGCCCCCCGTTAAGACACCAGAACCAAAAAAACTGAACCCACTTTCTTAACTCTTCCGTAGCGGCACGACTTTCCTGCTCTGGCAACGGCTCGAACATGTCGCTCGGCTCCAAGTTGCGCCGATACCCGTATATGAACAACGGTCCGATATACCTGGACAGCTATTTCTAGGAGATTGTCTAGAGCCTTACCAAAAGAATAGGCGCGACAAAAAGTTGGCGGTCCGCTCGGGGTTCGGCTTCAACTTGACGCCTCCATTCCGGGCGTTCCCCTTTTCTTTTCCATCTTTTGGCTGCAGCGGCTCTTTTTCGGGTGCCGCCATACCTGGAGAACACTAGGTAATAGGTAACGCCGAAAAAAGACAAAGAGAAACCAACATGACATTTCATTTTTCATAGGGCCATTAGTATTTCCACTGACGTTTACTTTTTCAAGGTTTCGCTCATGTTTTCACACTGCCCGTTTCGATAGCGAAAAGATTACGGAATGCAAGAGAGAGAGAGAGAGAGAGAGAGAGAGAGAGAGAGCCAGAGAAAGCGAGAGAGCGCGAGAGAGATAGACTAAAATTTATGGAGCGTGAAGTTTGGCACATTTTAATTTTTTTAACCAGAACGAGGTGACAAGCCTTCTAAGCATATTTGGCATTAGCCAAAATTCTTCACAGGATCAGCCAGGCCACATTGCCTCGTAAGTATATTTTGAATAGGAATCCATCGATCTATCGATTTTGCAAAGCAAAAAGGCAGATGTCCGTGCCAGGTCAGCGACCACCGAGGGACAGTGGCCAGCGCGGCAAAAGGGAACAATAATCGGGTGAAAATTGAAAGCAAACTGAACAACAAAAACAATAAAAACATAATTGCGGCGGAAAACGTACATATGATAACGGGGGGATAAAACAACGGGACGGCATTAGGTAGTCATAATATTTTTGAACGAGCACGGTGCGTATACTTCTCGGTAAAGCGTGAAAAACGATAATGAATTTACCCCCAAAAACAATGTAAGGCAAATATTTTAAAAAACCGTGCCTGGTCGGTGAATTAAGATTTACTAGATAGCGGCGTTTAAACCCCGAGGCAAGAAATTTTTACTGATTAAACATTGCCATAAACTTACTTCGCGAATTCGCGAAAAATGCTAAAGACTAACGGGGCAAGCAGATTGTCGTGATTTTCGGTATTTTGTAGAATTACCTTAAAGAAGTGAATTCAGACTCAAAAATTAAAGGTTTTATGAAGGCTTGAAGGTTTTATGGAATCAAAACTTGAGCAAAAAACGCCACAACATAACGGGGGAGAATAATTTAGGAATTTTCGATTTTTTTGTAGATGCCATTCGCTAATAAATAAACCATTTTAAACGTTTTCTAAACCCAAAAACACCAATTAAATCTATTTTTATTCAGGTCAGCTTTGATTCTGGCGCTATTCTTTCTGTGCCCTTAAAGCAAAAATCTATCAATTCTGGACAAAAATCAAGCTATCGAATGAGAATTGGATCAGGAAGAATCAGGTTTCTAAGGCTGTGCCCCTTTAGCCTGGCTATTTGCCGGGATGGGATTTAGGGGAGAGATTCGCAGCGTGTGGATGTTTGGGGGTCGATGGGAGGTGAGCAGAATACGCTTGACAAACACAAAATAAGGAAAAAGAAAACAGTCCCACCGACTGTCCACCACAGGGCCATACCGATCATTTCCCCCTCCCCCCGGAAAAGCCCTCCTCCATTCACCTCCACCCCCATCGATTTTATTGCCGAGCCAGGAGGGGGAGGGTCAACTCCGAGGGAGTGGCCCCGCCACCGGCTAGACTCGATGGAATTTTGATTCGTTGGTGTTAGGATTGCCTTTTCGTTGGCCTTTCTTGGTAAAGGTTCCTTAAAGGGGGGGGGGCAAATATTGTAGCTTTAAAAATTAGCCTTTTTTGACAACGCTTTCAATTAATAACTTTTTGATGAATAAACTAAATTTAATGAGAAACATGAAAGAATCTAAAGCTCCGAGTCAAAGTATGAGAAAGAGTTCGAAAAGATAACCCCGAGTCTGGTTCAAAAACTGTCGCCCAAAAGCCAAGGTGGTGCTTTCCCATTATCGGGGGGGGGAGGTACCCGTGGGGATCCGAATTTTTGTATAAGTCCACAAATGCTTACTACCAAGTAATTAGTGTTTTAATCGTGTTTTCAGGAAAATTTAGCGGTTTTTAAGGTATAAAACTATCCTAAAAACTTCAAAACATTCAAGATTCATAGAAAAAACCCGATTTTTTAAAACTTTTGATAAATGTTTTAAAAAACTATAGAAAAAAACAGTAAAAAATTCAATAGTGACAGTGTAGAAACAAGCCTTCCTTGGTTTGCACGAAATTTGGTTTTGATCTACACCGTTCCCTCCCCCACCCCCGATCATGCAAAAGAGCCTGCTATTAATTATAGCCAATAAAAATTGTATAGCTAGTTTCGAAACGCTTTGAAACCCTTAAAAAATCGGGAAGCGCCCGAAAAAGATCAACGAGCTTAAAAAAGCTAAACAACAACAAAACTACAGTATTGAAGTGAGTGACGCGCGAGAATAAATATATCAACTGAAACGGAGGAAAAGCGCGCCGATTACGCGCGGTTATTCCCCCTGGAGGGAGGGAGAGGAGGAGCTGTGTGGACAGCCAGAGGAGCCCCGTTTTTTTGAGCAGGATCTTTTCCGGGCTGTGGGTAGAGGGCAGAGGGTGCAGACGGTCAAGCATCGCCTCGCACTTTTTTTTGCCCTTGAAATGGCGTCCAGCGGGTGCCGGGGTTTGATGGTCAACGCCTAGTTTTGAAGCAACGTTTTGCCACATTTAAATTAGGCAAAAACTACAATTTAAGAAATATAACTTGTCTTGCAAGTCTATTTTTGGGGTTTATTTTCACCCCAAAAAATCCGAAAATCTAAACTTTTGAAAAACAGAAAAAGGTTTCAAAAGTCGAAAAGTTGGTTATTTCGAACGGCATAAAAAAATCGTTGTTTATACCGAAAAATGTTCGAGAAAAGTTCAAAAAGTACTTTCCGGGGGGTCTGAATGACCTTGGGTTGAGTATGATGTTTTTGTAAACAATTACTTTGTCCGCTTTTTGGCATCCGCGTACACCAACTTGCGCAGTTTTCAGTGGAGCTTATTAAGATTTTTACCTCTGTTTGGACGTGAAAATGCCGGATTTTGAAAAGTCTCATGTCCGCCACTCCTCTCTCTCTCACTCTCTTTCTCGCTCTCTCTCTCTTCTATCGCTCTCTCTCTCGTCCCCACGTTTTTCTGAAGCCCTCACACACGTTATCACCAGTTTTGGTATCTTTTTAGGTGTAAATCAATCTTCAGCAAAAATAAATAGAACTTTATCTGGCGCTCAATGCCTGCCTAGCTCATTGTTGTGCTTAATGTAGGAGATGAGCATGTTGTAGAGCAGCTGTACCATATTCGTGTAGACGACACGGAACTGCGGGGGTAGGAACATGAAGTTGACGAATTGAAACGGGGGCCACGTCACGCAGTCCAGCTGAAAAAGCGGTGTTGCTCACCCTGTTTTAAAGGGACAGACAAGGCAAGCTTATGGATTCGCACCATACTCACGACACGCGATGCATTGCGGTCAGAAAATTTAAAGGGGCGGGCAAGACATCCTAATGGATTTTTCTGCGTACGGACGACGCCCAACGCTCATTTTTCATGGCGTAATCAATCATCTCTTTTTCAGAGCCGTCGCGTGGCTGGCGTGTTATGTGAGAGAGAGAGAGAGAGAGAGAGAGAGAGGAAGAGCGAGAGAGATAGTAAGGAAGAGACGGCGAGAGATACTCACCATAAAAATGTGGATGAACTTGCGTCGGTATTCTGCCAGCCCTTCGCGCAGTGTGTGGCCCTCCATGAGGCCGACGCCTGAAAGGCAGCGTATTTTAAATGGACGAGGAAGCGGCAGAATCGACTCCTCCGCCGACTAGGTCTCGACACCTACCACAAATCGTCGTAACGGTAAAAAGCGGAGCCGACGAGACGTCGATAGCACATTTCTGGAGTGCGACCGCAAGCCTGGGGCCTCGAAAGCGGACGTGGAAGTCCATGAATCGGTACATGAAGTGAAGCATCGGGCCCTGGAGGAGGCCGCAAGCCGCGAATCTTCCTGGAAAAACGGGAGGTAAGGATCTTGCTTTTAAAGCACCGAAAAATGTTTTAAAGCGATTAGGAAGCTCCAAAATCGACCATATCCGCGACTAGGTCTCGACAATACGCGTTGTTCCAAAGTACGGCAACGGCGATAGTACACCTCTTTGCGTCTCTCCCTCTCTCTCTCTCTATCTCTCTCGTTCTCCTTCTCTCTCGCTCAAAAGCCACCGAGTCCACTTTGTATAGGGCGTTCGGTCTAGGGAAGGGGTGGAGAAGATGGTGGGACTCAATTAGATAGATTAGCAAGAAGGAGGAGAAGGGCTAAGCGAAAGAGAAAGAGAGAGAGAGAGAGAGAGAGAGAGAGAGAGAGAGAGAGAGAGAGAAAGAAAGAAAGAAAGTGCGATCCTCTAGGGAAATCAACCTCCACCCACCTCGTCTTGCTTTTTCTATATTTCTTTGCGTGGGTTACGGCGTCATTGGTTCCTGGAACTGCGGTGACGAGATAGAAAGAGAGAGCTAGAGGGAGAAAGAGTGAGAGTGAGAGCGAGAGAGAGTGAGAGCGAGTGTGAGAGACAGAGACAGAGAGAGACATAGAGACAGAGAGCGAGAGCGAAAGACTGGAAAAAAGGTAAATTCGTCGGTTTAAGGAAGTTTTGGTGCAAGTTTTGCAAGTTTTAGCATTTTAAAAATCGGAATTTGAAAGGACTAGGAAGCGACAGATTCGATCCATTCCTTCGGCTAGGCCTTGACAACTGCAACTGTCAAGACCTTGTAGCCAGGAGAGGTCGGTCTGGGCACTTGCGAAACACTTTAAGCCTGTTTTTCACTGATTTTAGCACAGAATTGACTCACTCACCTGTTCTCCTCCAATCCCATGGCCGTCCTGGATCCCTTGGATCCCAGGAACCTTGGATAAGTTGCTGGAGAGCATCGGCCGATCCGAGAATCCCACACGACACTCCGGTGTTTGCGGCTAACTTGTAGCGACCCGAGAACACATTCCGGAAGAGCTGAATAGAGGACTTCACAGGCTTAATGAACCGTGGGAATCGATCCTGCGACGACTAGGTCTAGACAACTCCGCGGGAGACCAAAATACGCTTACTGCACGTTAGCTTTGTCGAAATTTTTAATTCTAAGATGAAATAATGAGCAGGTAGCTACTGTCGAGGCCAAGTCGAAGTTAGGGATCGATTCC